TTGTGCGGAAATCAACTGATTTTGATTTTTTCCGTTTCACACACCCTAGGTACTTCCTAGCCGTGCCTGCAGAACTACTTATTCTGGTAGTGATCGAAGGTGTTAACCTTGTCCTCCCCCCTCCGCTCAACATTTTTGAGTGCATTGTAAGATGACCATGTACCATATTTCCATGTAAAAAAAATTTCAGCTCACCGGCTCGTATACGACGTTTCTTCACAATGAAAAAGAAGAAGAAGAAGGAAAGCAATGGCAGTGGTGATTCAACGTTGATTTCGGTCGTTCTTGTCGACACCGACTATCGTTCTAACTCTGAGGAAGGCGCTTCGTCACAGCTCGCTCAGCCGGGCTGGTATGTATACGCGCCACAGCTGCTGGCTACAAAGGTGAGATCAAGAAAGAGTTGGGTTAGTCCAGATGTTCACTTTTGCCCGCTGTGTAAGGATAAAACTCAACGTTGGGGTTCCATGGTATGCTTATCTCCTTAGAATTGGTTTACTGTAGAGGTCAGGTCAGATGGTTATAATGCAAGTTTTTAGTCATTAACGCGTTAGTCGAGAGGTGGTGAACTCTTCCACCCATCTGGGGTGCAGGTTTGAAGCATGATTAGCCACTTTTGTTACTCAAAATTGCGTTGTAGAGACGTCGCGGCTAGTGGAATGTCCGACGCTCCACCCACCGCCGTGCGCCACGCCCATTCTTCCCCAGTTTCAGCCCAAAACCTTATTCCCATCATAACAACTATTTGACAATTATGTTACCTGATCATTTACAGAGTCGACTTCTACGAGCGTTAGGTTTCGAGTTTCCACCATCATTAATCGTTGTTGATACGGCTTCACGGACTGTGGTGACAACAGAAGGACGTCGACTGTTGGCCGATGACGTGAATGGAACGTCATTCCCATGGTCGGTTTCTAAAAAAAATCGTTTACTGGAAATTACTTGCTGATTTTTGGTCCACTTTTCACGGTTTAATCCTTCAGTCGTGGTGGTCTAGATTGAAAATATCGTGTATTCAGGAACTTTTACCAACTTCAAGTTAATTCAGGTGGCCACCAGCTGCGCTGGAAGTACTAAGGGGAAACATTTTACGCCGAGTTAATGGTGTCGTAGAGACGTCAGACTTCTCAACTATTAAAACTACAGTCCGTGGACTACTGTTCGGAGCACAGTGGGTGAGTTGTGGGATCCTCTTCCGAGTTACCTCTTTATTGCTGTTCCTTTTCATAAGACTTTTACAATGTGTCTTGCATTGCAGTCTTGTTCGCTTGTGCGTTCCATGCAGGAGTGACTGGGTTTGGCACGACACCATCCTGTTCTTTACCAACTTTAGTCGCCTTTTCTTTTCCATAGTTGGTAGAGAGTAGGCAAAGCCGCGCCACACTCACCTC